GTATATGTATGCCTACACACTGGGAAATTCGGGCTGGGTCCCCGGGGACCCGCGGCTGCCATAGCTCGGCGCCAACTACCCCACTTACTCTACAACATCAAACGGATACAGACTGATACATACATGGTCCTCAACTCGCCTAACTCTCCTGAGAGGGTTATTCGAGGAGCTGAGCGTTTTTGTTATTAAGACCCGAATTCAATACTCGATGCAGAGCCGGGTATTGAACCCGGGCCCTGGCGTGCAAGAGGCAGGAACCATACCAATTAGCCAAATGCTCAGCTTTGTAATGCCCTACAAATTAGCTTAAAGCTGTTGTCTGATGTATGATATTGCCATTCTATGCCTCTGTGGGTTATTTTTATTCCATCTGATGAGTATTTAAAAAATGAATAAATAAATAAAAACTTTTTCCACCCGCCCCTATTTATCATTTTTTTTAAAAGAAGGGCAAACAAACAATTTATTTTATTTGGCCTTATAAACAGTTTTATTTGTTATACTGGATATATGATAAACTGCTCGTAGTCACGGTGTGTGCGCCGCAACAAGGAGATCCTTTCAAATTGTTGGTCCGTGGTTCAATTCCAATCTCTGCTCTTTATTTATTGATGAGCAATGCAACAATTGATTAAACGAAAACTAATTTGAACAATCGTGTGTTTACATTATTGGTAATAAACACTGATAGTATGTTTAACTTGGTATTGCATGTAATTAGGTATGAGAAATGGAGTGGAGAGGTACTGAGACAGAATTATCCTCAGTGGACTGTTGGATCTGACATTGCAAGTATATACCAAGCGGACGGCGGTCTTGTTGACGCAGCCCAAGGTAATTCTACTCATGTGCAGATGGCGCGCAAGCATGGTGCTACAATTTTAACTGATCTGAGCGTGACGCGACTTTCAAGGATTGCACCAGATCACATGATGGTAAGAACATCAAGACGTTACAAACACATTCATGGCCAACACATTCGTACGTGAGGCTAATGATAAGTACTTTTCATTCAATTATTTATTTTCACCTTTCTATTTATTATTATATACTTTTTTATGTTTTTAATTACGGTATTATAGGCTTTTATAATAATAATTGAATTCATAATCTCACTGACAGCTCTTCGAAAATATCACCTTTGTATCGCTGTTAATATTGATTGTAAGAAGTATACCTAAATGTTTATGTTATTGTCTTCCCCTTTCTAATCTAGGTTCACACGACTGGCGGTGTCTTTCACTGTAAGCGCGTTATTGTGTGTGCTGGTGCGTGGATCAACAGCATTCTAGGGTCTGTCGGGGTTCATATTCCTGTGAAAGTGACGCAAGAACAAGTGACGTACTACGGAACACCACACGTCAAAGAATTTACTAAGGAGAGGTAAGCGCAAAAGTAAAACTTTTAACCAGAGCAATGCGTTTGGAACTACGTTAAGGATAGTTAAAAAAACACTGAGCTTCGGGGAGCCCTTGTTCGATTGCGTACGCGTTAATAATATGATGCAAGTAGGATTTCAGTCACTTAAAAATTGCATCTATAGGAAGTTCTTCTCTTTTCGCTTGTTACGTTACCGGGTTTTTTTTCTTGATATTTCCATTAATAACAGGCTGGTCCACTACGTCAGCAACGCGTAAGCATATTTATGCATAGGCCTATCTATTTATGCCATGTTTATACATATTTATTTAAGCATATTAATTGGATATATTTTTAATTAAATGTTTTTTTACAGGTCGAATGTTTGCGTGACATGTAAATGTATATTTTTTTATATGTTTAAGTAGTGATTATTCATTAGGAATATGCTTATTTTGATTATATTTACAATTTGATACGTACGCCTTTATTAAACAAATTTATTTGTTATTGTACTAAATAGCATCAATACAATTTAAGCATATCTCATCTATTTTAAAGGTTTCCGGTATTCATGTTCCATGAAGGAAAATACGATGTTTATGGGTTACCTATGCATGGCAATACTGGAAGTAAAATAGGTATCGATGCAAGAGGCAAAGTAGTTACAGCGTCAACAAGAACATACCAACCAAATGCAGAAGTAGAACAGGAACAAAACGAATTCCTTTCAAAGTATATTCCAAAGGTTAAAGGATTTAATATCCACTTTTTAAAATTATTTTAATAATTACTGCACCTAATTTCGATCTTAGCTTTAAAATCTATTTTACGAGTCGTCTAACATATAATTTTAATTGAAAATTGAAGGTGCGCTCATTCTTGAAACGTTATGCATTAGCAGAGACCACATTCATTTAACACAGTGGTTCCCAACTTGTGGTCCGCGGACCACTTGGGGGTCCGCAAAAATATTTGGGGGCCCGCCAAGTCAAAAGGGTCCACAGGGAGTCTGCTAGATATTAATACCACTTTTTCATGGTTACATTAGTTTGTCTTACAACAGTGTGATAAATATCTCTCTTTAATCATTTCTTGTGAATAATGAAATACCTTTGATATTAGTTTGTTCATTATTATTTACCGGTATTCGTTCATTGTAAAAATTTTTCAACTGGTATTATATTTTAATTCCAATATTATTTTAGTGGTGATCTGATAGAATCCTTTATATTGTTTTTTATGTATGCTTTATGTAAAGATGTTCAGTATAGGAGAGCCACTTGATAGTGGCAATCCTCAGTTAGGGCCTAATGTACATTTTCTTTGCATGTTTTCTCTTTTACCTGGTTATTGAATAAATTTTAAAAATCAGGAGGAGCCCTGAAATAAATGTGGATAAGCAGAATACTACATTCAAATTGTGAGTCTGACAGTGCCATTTCCGGCCACCTTGAAGTGCCATAAACATTCCAGGATCCGCCCCTGTTTATAATCGTACCCTTCCTTGCGGCAAATCGTCTTCTATCCATAATCTTATTGGTGGAATATCATGAGTCGCCTTTAAGGCCAACTCAGACAGCGTCGGCCGACGCAGCCCGACGCGATTTGTTGTCGCGTCGGGTTTGTGTGAGTTGAACGCAGACGTGTGCGTCGGGGGCAGTCGGGTAGTAGAATATTAAACGTGTTTAATATTTCTCACGACGACTTAAGACCGTCCCCGACGATAAATCGGGTCGGGCTGCGAATCAAAATTAATGGGGGATAAAAGAAAATTACCTTCAAATTTTGAGTCTGACAGTGCCACTTCCGGCCATCTAGAAGACTGTCATAAACATAAAAAATTTCCTACCTCAGCCCCAACCATGGTGGGACTGAGGTGGTTTCTTTTTGGAATTCCAGGATCCACGACTTACTATCGTGACGAATCATCTTCTATTTATAATTTTATTGTTGGGATATAGACAATTAGTAATACATGGGGTCCGTGAAGAGTTTTGACATGTCCGGAGGGGTCTGCGAATGCAAAAAGATTGGGAAACACTGATTTCCGTTTCCTGTTATTGTTTCAAATTTGCCGCTCTATGAATTCTTTATCAAATCAAATAAAATGATATTGTTTGCCTACTTTTATCGATCACTATCAGTATCATGAATGATGTTTTGCCCTACCTGCCATGTTATAGTACTGAATGCTGCTCATGAGTACGCTCAAGTAAGCCCTAGCTAAAACAAATCTCGCAAGTGATTAGACAGAGGATCGAACTCACACCCTCCATATACGTAGACCACTGAGCTTTGTGTGGGTGTGACCTGGCCTTAAACCACCATTCAGACCTTCAGGAATTTGTAATCATTAAATGCACTCATGTTTTTTTTTAGGCATTAGGTCCTAAGATGTACACAAAAACTTGCCTTTACACCATGACCCTGGACCGCCATTTTGTTGTAGATACATGTGCCAGCACGGGACATCCAGAGGTGATTGTTTGTTGCGGCGCCGGTCATGCTTATAAGTATGTCTTTTTGCATATCAATTATTATTATTATTATTATTATTATTATTATTATTATTATTATTATTATTATTATTATTATTATTATTATTATTATTATTATTATTATTGTTATCATAATCACTATTATTGTTATTATTATTATCATTATTATATAGTTATTGTTATATCTGTTATTATTATTAATACTATTATTAATATGAATGTATCTATTATGTTCGTATTTCAACAGATTTGCCAGTGTCCTAGGCCAAATACTTAGTGATCTTGCCATGAAGGGGAAGACGACCTTTGACATTACACAATTCACTATGGATCGCCGAGCGATCAAGGATCCACTCTTTAAACCAAATTTAATCTTAGGCAACCATAATTCATCCAAACTGTAGAACATTACAGTGGCGTACATCCAGGATTTAGAAGAGTTAAATTGCAGATAATATCAAAGAATATTGCACAAAATTGGACCAATAAAAGCGAAGTATAATTTTTTTTAAACATTTTTTTTGGAACAAACACTTTTAAATTTAAGGATTATACACCATCGTTTGTAAGTCTGTTTAGATCTTACTTTACAGCATTCATGCAGCAGATGATAGTTTTTATATAATTAAAATAATAATAATAATAATACGATGCTTATCTTTGTTTAACCTTGTCAGCCATTTTAATTATATAGGCCTACATAGGCCTACACTGGTATGCAATAAAAACTTGTCAGGCCTTTTTCAATACTAATCGATATACAGTACTAAATAAAAGAAATAATCAGACAAATCCGAACACTGGAATTTTTTTCAAGATGCATGAGTTTTGTACATCATAAAAACTGCATGGAGGATTTAGACCCAAGCAATTTTGTCACGCTTTTGGTGACACGTTTAAAAGCTAATTGAGGACAGTCGTTTATTCTATTAAACCTAGGATCCGCTCCTGTTCAGTATACAGATTTATAATATAGGCCTACAATACAATATGCATAAGGCCCAAATGTATTGTTGCACAACATTAGATGATTATATCTCCATAATAATATTCTTTTGAATTGAACCACGTGGAGGTTTTACCAGGGCCGTATTCAGGATTGCCTGAGATAGGGAAAAGGGGGTGTGCAAAAATGTTTCAATTGGGGTATGGCATCAAGATGGATGGAATTGTAGGGATTCTGAGGGATTTAAGTAAATTTTAGCCCCATGCAAATTATATTGTAGGACCATATTAATGTTGAAGAGGCTTTACCCACAATTCATCTACTCTCGGTAATGAACAATTTTCCATATACTATCGCAATTCCGATAGGCCTACCCAATTAATAACTTAAAGATAACAAAACAACATGTTTGTTCATATAGCATTTATTCATCTTTTCATTTAGAATATAGATTCATGACCTATATGGGTGTGGGAGGAAAGCGAATGACTCGGACAAAACCCCGACAATCAGATAAACATATGCATCAACACTGCCTCATAATCCTTCCTTGGTATAAGATTTAAGATTTTCATGTGACGAATAAAACAACTTTAACACTCAGCTACACCAATAAGCATACATGGCGTAATACTGGATAAACAAATGCTACTCTATCATAATTGTACGTAGGCCTACTACAAATCCCTGTAAATTTTAACAAAATAATAGGCCTACTAACATAACAACATCAATCACCAAAATATATCAGGCCCGAGGCAGGATTTTCGATGGGGAGGTGCGTTTTGCAAGATAAGCAGACCTTAGGTTGGGGGAGGGGAGGGGGTTGGGGAAAATCCCCTGGAAGCTCTGACAAACTAGCAATTTCAGGGCATTGGATTTCTTATCTATATAAATTTTCATGAATTTGGGTGTTGTTAGGGACCTGAAGAAGTAACGTTTTATGTCCTTTACTACCTGCAGATAACATTGTTCATGGATCTGTAATCACCTGAACTGATCAATTTCCAACAAATGTGATACTTATTAAAAATAACGGTTAGAAGAGCTGGCGAATATAAAATGCAATGCATACTATAGTATTTCGCTGGCCGGCCGAGAATGGTCAGTAAGGTTCAAACCCCCGACACGAGGTTTAGAACCAATCGTGCCTCTTCCACGTTTCTTGAATCATCATCATCATCCAAGAAAAAGTATACTATGAAACGCCAAGCAAATAGGTAATATGGAACGGCATTAGTGCCAAACTCGATTTTCCCAGCTTTTTTTACTGATAAGACAAAGATTAGAGACTGGAACCCAGTCTAGTAACGTAGATGTGTATTTGTAGTTTATGGTGTATAATTACCTATAATGTTGAGACCTATGTACGTATATCAGTGGCGTATCCAGAAATTCAAAATAGAGGGGGCCAGGGGAGGTAATTTCACATGGAAGGTTTATACCACCTCAGCAGCTCCATGGTTGGGCTGAGTAAGAAAATTTGTGATTATGGCACCTCTAGATGTCCGGAAATAGCACTCTCAGACCTAAAATTTGAATAATTTTCTTTTATATCTCCATTAAAAAAAAAAAAAAAAATTAACAATGGGGGGGGGGCGACTGGGCCCACCTTGAATCCGCCACTGTATTAGATATATATACTAATTCAACTTTAGAATGGTTGCAACGTGGTACTGGCTAATGGAGCATTGCCACAATCTAGGCGAAACAGTCTAGGACCTGGCTAAGATTTGTATGCACATAATTTTGGAGAGAATATCTCAACTGTTAGACTAATTTGAACCCCAGGAACAACATGTGTGTAAAATTTCTATTCGGGACGAACAGCCTAAAATGATCACACCCATTTTTAAATAGCCACGCTCCCTTTTTGCAATGGTAAGGGTGCTGTCTCGGATGTTTTCCCACAGTCGTGCTTGAAAATGTACGACGGTGGGAAAAAGAGAACTTGTATTTGTCTGTATTAAAATTTAATGTCTCTAAGAACGTAATAATTGTTACTTCTTATAGTTGTCTACTTTGTTCTATCATGCTGATGTTGGGGAGTACTATGGGTGTTCTCCAATGCAGGGACGTAGCCAGGATTTTGAAAGGAGGGGGAGGGAGCCGTTATGCGAGATACGTACGACCCCGGCAAGGTCCAGGGGGACGAATCCCCACCCCCCCCCCCTCCTGAACGTTTTAAGGACTGTTTTGAGAGGATAAAGTGACAATTGTATTAGACACATTAATGAATTCGAAAGATAGGTGTCGCAGGGAGGGATTTTCACAGACTGAGGAACCACCCACCTCAGCCCCACCATGGTTGGGGCTGAGGTAAGAAAATTTATGCTTAGGGCACCTCTAGATGGCCGGAAATTACACTTTCATACTTAAATTTGAATATATTTTCCTTTTGTTTTTTTCCTCAAAAAAAAAAAAATAATTATCTAAAATAGTCATAATCACGAAAAAGGGGCATGAAAAACCAGATCACATTCTAAAAACAAATTTATGCCCCCTCTTCTCAGCAGTCACAAGACATACTTTGAGTCAGGTACCGACTCGATGCAGTTTAATGTCATACCCAGAAGGGCGCAGATCTGTTTTGTAAGGTTGAGGGGGAGGACATTTTGTGAGTCGGCACCTACTTCAGACTCACCATGGTTGGAGCTGAGGAGCGAAAATGTGAGGAAATAGTACCTCTAGCTAGATGGCCAGAAACAACACTTTTAGTAAAATTCATCATCATCACATCACCGTTACCGGTAGTCCAAATGAAGCGCCAAAAAATATCTCATGGTCTTTTTTATCAGGGATTTTCTGCAACCAAAAAGATCTTATTAATGTGTGTGATATACCATAGAAAACAAAGCTTAAAAACATTGTCTTTGAGTGTGTTCTTTACATACTTAAAAACCGTGATTTCACAACCACCTCAGCCCCACCATAGTTAGGGCTGAGGTGAGAAAATCTGAGGAAGTAGTACCTCTAGATGGCCGGAAATCACACTTTCACGTAGTAAAATTCATCATCATCACATCACCATTACATAGTCAAAATGGAACGCCAAAAAAATTTCTCATGTACTTTATCAGGGATCTACTTTATATCCATGACAACTTGACCTAACTATAATTTACTATATAAGCTTTAACTATAATATTATCATCAACAAATCACAACTTTATTTTTTGCCTTTAGCACAATTTCCTTCACATTTTAATATTATTAATATTACTATCAATTATCATCATCATCATCATCATCATCATCATCATCATCATCATCATCATCATCATCATCACCACCATTATTATTATTATTATTATTATTATTATTATTATTATTATTATTATTGAATTGAATTGAATTGAATTGAATTGAATTACTATTATTATTATTATTATTATTATTATTATTATTATTATTATTATTATTATTATTATTATTATTATTACTAATAGTATAGTATTATTAAACAATAGGCCCTACTTTAAAGAAGCTTGCAAAAGGGTAAAAACCAAACTGAACCATACATTATCACATTTCTGTATCTTAAAAGACTTGGCATGGGATTTATGGATTTTTAAAAATCATGCTTAGACATGTTATAATTATAGTAGGCCAGGCCTATGTAAAACGAGTAGGCCTACTGATGCATTTTTTACGTATTTTAGAAGTATTCATTTTGAGTGGTCCCAGAAAATAATTTGTATTGGCTAAAAAAAAAGCTTTAAAAAATTTACACTGTGTACAAAGGGGGGGGGGGGGAAGCCGCGGCTCCCACGGCTCCCCCCTGAATACGTCCCTGCTCCCATGCCATGTTTTATAAGAGAGATTGTCGTGCGACAACCTTGCTGGAGGAGTGGCCATTTCATAGTAGGCATAGAATTCCTTGGAAATCCAAAGATAACACAAAACATTCACAATACATTAATAAAAAATGATGGCAAAAACATTTTGTTTGTGGCAAAGCAGCTGTGGATTCACTATAGGCCTATAGTTTATGTTAGTTCATGGCTAAATAGGCTGAATTATATCTAAAAGTGCATTTATAAATTTTATTAGATAGCTCTCACCCCCATATGGCGAAACACGTGCTTCTAAATAACAGAAAGTGGGTGAAACTGGGTAAATTATTTGCAAAAGCAGAAAAACAGCTCTGATAAAAAGAGAAAACATAAAATAAAGATTCCTAATGCAAGTAAAGGCCTATAGGGCCTATTTGTAATTATATTTAATATTTTATACCATGGAGGTATTATAGTAAACTATAATACCTCTATGTCTATATATACCTAGAATCATCATTCCCCACCCCCTTCCCCTGCTAGTACGTTGACGTAATTACATACGCATGCGTAAACAAAAGAACAACCTAGATGATTGATTACTAATACTGTGTATTTTGTGTAAATTGAACTTTTTCCCATCAAGAAATGGGGGATTCTGAGTTATTAGTTTTCGTAGGTAACATGACATTTGTTGACACAGATGTTTTTCAATTATGGCTGGAAGGAAAAGCAGGTATTTTTTAAAGATTTGGCTTATTTTACAGTAAAGTAAGCTTAGCCTTAGGTTAGGCCTAGCCGCCTAGCTAGCTGGAGGCCCAGGGCAGGACCGGACGCATGCGAGCCGGACTGGCACTGGGAGAGGTAGGCCTACTAGGCCTAGGCCCATATAGCTAGAGTTGAGGCTGCTTGGTTCCTAGTCGAATGTTATTGTCGGTCTAGCTTTGGCCTATGTGGTATGCCTAGGCCTAAGATTAGAACATAATAAATTTTCAAATACAGTTGACTATTTAATAATCGAATGATGTTGCGTACGTGCGTGGAATACCGTAAAACCTTGAATTTTTTTTTCCGCTAAACTAAGCGCCGCTATCGAAAATTTTATTTTACGATGTTGTATGGCCTATGATAAGCTTCCCGAAATACAGGAATACGTGAAATAGGTAACATGATAACTGTCATGGAAGTGCCACATCAATATTTTTTCAATAAGCGCCACTCTTAAATTAAAGTGTTGAATAAACATCACACTAAAGCCACCAAATGTGTTTTATATTCAAGGATTTACAAGTTCACTACTATGGCCTAGGCTAGTTAGGCTGTGTGAAAAAAAACCTGCCTAGGCTTAGTCTTGTTGAGTATGTATGTCGTAACCATGATATATTTGTGGTTTAGTATCTCACTTTATTTTTTTTTACAGTTATTGAAGCTTCAAATGTAAGATATAAATCTGGAAAGTTTGCCAAAGTTCGAATGCAGCACATAGTCAGTGACATCGAAGACAACTACAGAAACTTCATGGCAATTGAGAAATATCTCCGAAATCCGCCTTCATTATCAAATCAAGTTATGTTCCAAATACCACAAAGGACACAGGAGTATTTAATCCAAGAGTTAGTAATCTCCCAAACTATTCACCACTGTTCATAATGACTCTAATAGACCTGTCCAAACTGACCAGACAGAACACCGGGCGTCACACAAACACGCATGTTGCCCACAAATGCACGTGTATGCGTACATTTACACTGTCGTTTTATGGGACCTTAGCAACAATATCCAAGGGGCGGGGTTTAGCGGAATGTTCCATTCACTTTAATTTCCTGTTTAAATGTGTTTCTAGTTTTTGATATTAAAAGTGCCACTGATAAATTGATATTAAACACAAATCATAGCACAAATATTTTGAAAACATGTAACAAAAAGATGAAGGCCTAGTCACATGAATGGTAGGGAACATTGGGGTTACACTGAATTTTGAAAATTTAAATAACTTTTTGAATGAGACTTTGATCATAATGTGAAGTTGAATTCTTAAAGTCTTAGAGCAAGTTCTTGATGGGTGAGGGATAAGGAAGGAATTAATGTCTGTGTTCATCATAACAGTCTTTTGATGTTTTTTTTTTTATATTCAACCAGGTATTATAGTTTAAATTCATCTGTTGCCAGGGAGATTCTAGGAAAAAAACTATCAAGTAGACATCGGAAAGACCTTGATGAAGTCAGTGAGAAGACAGATGTCACCCTGAAAAGTTGTCGAAGACAGGTGAATATTATTGACATTGTTTCATCCAATTTCTATAGCGGCAGCATGTGGTGAGTGGTATGTTTAAGCGGGAACCGGAATTACTAAGAATAAAATCATTAATGCAGTAGATGAGTCAAGTTTTGCCAATGTGTATTTGTCATAGATAACTTCTAGATGTACAATGCCTCTTTAATTATTTTTACTATACTGATTGTATTTTGACCTTTCAGTATGATAATTTCAAGCGTGTTTTTAAGACAGTGGAAGATATGCAGGGTTCAATGGTGAAAAATATCACAGAAAACTTTCTGCTTTCCAAAGAATTAGCCAAGTAAGTGTTTGTACACTTTGCATTGCCCTTTTTAAATAAGTGTATTCAATTACTAATAGTCAATCCTGTGTTTAACCACCTCCAGCATAGGTCTCACTCATATCAGGACTCATATTCACTCACTCATTAGTAGATCTGCCTTCCTCACTACTGAATTCCTGTATCAGACCGCCTGAACCCCCCACTCCCTCCTCTCAGCCGATAATTATAATTAGCCTATCCAAATACCATTATTTTTTAAAAATTATTCTAAGACTAGGACCAAGGCTCTAGTCGCCCCCTTGGTTCGGACCCTTGTCAGACATGTTGGACCCCTTGTCGGCAAATTTCTGGCACCACCGCTGACTAGTATGCCCTATTATATCATGGTTTTTCTCTGCAAATTTGCATGAGAAAAACCCTTGTAAATCCAAAAGAGATGACAAACTTTTGTAACTACAATAATTGTAATTTAAATGTACTAGTGTTTGCTGCAATAAAAGTGACTTTTTTTGTACAAAACTACTTATTTATAACGCACAGTAGTTATTGGAGAATACTGTAGTTCAATTCTAAGGTGTTTATTTTATGTTTTTATTACAGGAAATATGCAGCTATTGTGTTTTTTGCAAACAATCGTTTTGAAACTGGAAAGAAACGTTTGGCATTTGTTACATTTGATGATTTTGTATACTGTGCAGACAAAATGATAAACAATTGGACTGTTGGGTCAGCAAGTGAGTAAACTGATAAACAGCCTTAAATATATTGAAAGTGACTACAGTGATTTTTATCAACTAAAGGATTGTCTACACTATCAAATTTTCTTTAACAAAAAATTGTTGTAGCCCATATATAGTCATGATGTCCCTATATATGGTTATGATATGCCTATATATGGTCATGATGTGCCCGTATATAGTCATGATGTGCCTATATATGGTCATGATATGCCTAAATATGGTCATGATGTGCCCATATATAGTCATGATGTGCCTATATATGTATGTTACATCATGACCATCTCACATGTTTTTTGTCAAATAAACTTTGATAGTATGGACAGAGCTGCTCAGTTATGCTGCCCTCTATATTAATAGCCATGTTGGCAGTATCTCAACATATTTTCTAATTGTTAGCAGATTCTTCAGCCAAGGAAGATCTTGATGCAGATTTTGACCGGGATTTCCTTCGAGATCTGCGAGAACTAAAGATATTAGGAGAGAAGGATTGTAGTGAACAACACAGAAGGTACATTTTTTAGCCTTTTTTTTTAAAAGCAAAAACACATCTTGTAGCAGAAGTTTACTCTGTTGCTTACACCACCCCATGCAAATCTTCAAGAACTATTTTGTGTAATGTTAATAAATTCTTTCTGGTTTTTTATAATTAACAGTTTAATAAATAATGTATATGAAGTTATTCCACATACCTATCATTCTTATACCATGCTCCATAACAGCTTTGTATTATTGTTTTTAGTTAATAAATTACCGTACATTTAATCAACAGAAGAACCTTAGGACTCCATTTTAACTTTTTTGTCATTTTTTTCTTACGTAAAATTATGTTATTTATATATATTTTGGTGTTCTTGCGTTTAGCTTTGTCCGTAATACATTGAAAGGAAAAGTTTCAGAAACTGTAATTTCACAAGTACATGCAGAATTCAGGGTAATGAATCATAATTTTTGAACTTTTAAATAAATTTTCTATTAATAATAAATATTGGTAATATTTTGTTATTAAATATGTATGCCAGACAGTTATTAATATATATATATATATTTTTTTTTTTTTTTAGAATTTAACTAAAGCAATCATAAATATTGGCAGTAATATGATCCATTCAAAAGACTTAAGGGATTTCTTCTTGGATGTTGTAGAAAAGGTATGTTTAAAATTAATATGATACATAAATAAATAAATTAATGATTTGAATGAATATATAAATAAATGAATGGAAGTTAATAAGTGATCCGTAAAATTTGATGTTATATTACGTATAATACAGTGCATTCAATCATAAATTAATGATTTGAATGAATATATAAATAAATGAATGGAAGTTAATAAGTGATCCGTAAAATTTGATGTTATATTACGTATAATACATGGCGCATGGAATTTGAATTTAAAAAATTACTTGTTTTAGAGTACCTTGCTCCCTACTTTTTTCCCTTTATTCTCTCTTTTTTCCTTTTTTGATAGGTGGGTGAGGGCGTGGCCAACCTACGATATACCCCTTCACCAAAGCAATCATATTTTGGTGAAGTAAAGCAGTGCATTGGTAGAACACTAATTTACAGCTATTGATTTTGTTTTAGATTATAGAACCATGCAAACAGGATGGTTGGTCAGCTAAAGACATGGCAGCTTTTTTGAATGCATACAATAACAATTGTAAACATTTAGAATGCTTTGGCAGGTAAGATGTTATTGGATTCAGTCTTCTTCATCATTATTATTATTATTACTAATATCATAATTAATATTATCATTATGATCTTTTTCATTATGGTCATTATTGTTGCTTGTTATCCACACACAAATTTAAAAAAAAAGAAAATCAGGTGAATAATTTACTTGTTAGAATATTAAATTCTTCTAAATAAATTAGGAACATAAAACAAAATGATGATCACTATCTTCATTGTCATTATCATCACTCTTGAAATCAGTATCCTTAATTATCTGTCATTAATCATCATTATCATAATCATCACTATAAATTGTCATAACCATCATTATTTTTATTTTCTATAATCTATTTTACATCATTATCTTCAACTCACCTTCTTTGTTATATATATACAGATAAAATAATTGAGGTATGTTATTATTTTTTATCTCCATACAGACAACCCAAGTTGCAAATGGTTCAAGAAAGATACATGGATACTTTAACAAGCTGTATCCTAAAGATGTTCCACAACTAAAGAGACATTGTGATGTCAACCAAATGTGAATCAGCTACACCAATCTCAACGTATGACGTCAGCCAAATCAGAATTAGCTCCACCAATCACGACGTATGACGTCAGCATGTTCGGTAGAAATGTCAGCGATACAGGCATAAATTTGGACTGATTTTTAAAAATATATTTTCATATTATTGCTGTTTTTGTAAAAGTAAAATTCTAGCGACATGTGCAAGGGAGAGTTACTGTAACATTGAATCGATTCATTAACTTCCAAAAATATTTGATTATAGCGTACTTTATTGATGAAGCAATATCGGAACAAACTTATTAACATTTCAAATGCAGTAAACGTTATTTTGATTAATATTGTGATCTAAAAGCCACTTGGTTTGGACCCCTTATTTTACAGTACATGTTGCCACCCCCCCCCCCCCCCCCCCGCA